GTAGCTGTCGCCGATGACGAGCGTCCCTGCATGAGAAAAAGAAACACAATGATGTCCGTCCCCCGAACGCGCCGCCTGTGCAGTGTTGCCACCTTGTCCACGTTCTGTCGCCTCACGGCGCACCCGTCTTTGGCAGACGGCGCGCCCCCGTCCGCTGTGGCCCGTGTGTCGCAGGATGCCGTTGATCACGCGCACATAGAGCTCGTTAATGGTGGCAAAGTCACCAGAAGGCAGCACGTCGTCCAGCTGGGAGGTCATGCTGGCGCGACAAAATGACAGTGGTTCTTGGTCTTTGTATTTACACGGCGGTCACCTACCACGGCATGTTTTTGGGTGATTAAGAAACGCCCACCCGCTCGGGACGGTTGAACGCCATCGGCACCGAGAAAATCGACAGAAGTGACGAATGACACCTGCTGTGCCGGGGGACGGAAAAACTTCCGCCTCAAAAATCGATTGGCCAGCCAACGACGTCGCTGACATCGCTGGGCAGACACGTCATTTGGACAAAGTCTAGTCCTGGGGATGAACAAAATGAAGGGCATTCAGCCCTACCGGAACTCCTCCACCACGGGAAAGTCCGTGTTTGCGCGCTCTCGGAACACACGCTCCCTCCTGAGTCGCCGATGCTGAGGCAGGTGCCCCTGAAAAGCCTCAGCTTCCAGCATCTCCAAATCATCCATCTCATAATAAATGGCAGGGTCCATCTCCATCTTGCTTTGATATTCTGAAGATAAGTTCACAAATAGACTACCTCTCTCCTAAAACTTTGGTAGACATAAGCTTCGGTAGTTTTAGTTTCTTGGAAGGTATGATTCCTATGCATATTGCAAATGCTTAGTGAACAAACATTCAGTGACACTTCGATACAAATGAATAGACATCATAATACGATTGTTGGCGAAGATATGTTAAAAGGTACATATATTGTACATATTTTACATGGTTTATCTAGCTGACTGCAAGTTGCAGGCCCACGGTTGTGCACCCATCACAGCAAGCGTCACATGTACACACTCCAATATCGCGATTCCAGTTGTCATTATAACAATCGAGATGTACAACAGAATGTCACCTCGACAGGCTCCTCTTCCTGCTTTTTTTAATTTTTAAAGATTTTGGAACACGGCCTTCAGGGCCATACACTCTGACTGGCCCGCAGTCGCCCAGGACTGCAGATCAACCCGGGCATACTCGATGTGCAGGCGAGCGACCAGCTGAAAGGCGGCCATCCCGCGGAGCTGGGCTTGGTCCGATATCATAGAGTACGTCGGGATGTCCCGGACGTACAGCCCTCTGCAAACTGCGTGGTAGGTATTCTTTTTTTCGACAAAACCGAGAATAACGCGAATACTATGCCATCGGTCACTCGGAAATCGTAACAGAATGACGCGCGAGACTTCGCACCTTAGATTGGCATTATCATCGTGTTCATTTTCTATACAGTTTGGCAACAAAATCCAAAAGTTTATATTTGCCCCAAAAACAGACTTTTGCATTTTGTTGCCACACAAGGCGTATGCTTTGTCTAGTGATCGACCTAATCGAAGAAGTGGAGCATGGCGCATCTATTTGCAGTGAGTTCCGACCGACTGCAAACATAGCCTTTGAGTTATCACCGGTTTTGTCGAAGAAAGAATACCTACCACGCAGTCTGCTGAGGGCTGTACTTGTAGACAATCGAGGCCAGCTCTCGGTACTGCCGCTGGCCGACACCTCCGCCTGCTTCGAGACCATACCAGACCTGTTGCTGGGCTTCGGGTGTGATCTCGCAGTCAGCTCTGACGAGTGGCGTGTTCGCCGCCCTCCTTTTGGATCCTCGCTCTGGAGATGGTTTGGCCATGGCCGGCCAGAAGCGTCATGAGGAAGAACTCATTCTTATCTTTGCGGCGTGTGGAAGACGTCGTTGGCATGCGAGATCTTTCCTATCCCGCAGGGAAGGACGCCGTTGTCATTCACCTTGAGCCAGTCGAGGGCCTTGGTCTTGACGGCCACGTCATCGGTGTCATACGGATCTTCCGTGGAGCGGCTTCCCCTCCGCAGCACATAGTACGCCAACGCGAGGCCAGGGCCGACCTCGGCGGGCTGGTTGTTCAGCTCCCCACTTTCTGCTTTTTAGCACATTTGTCGTTTCCTGGTCGTGCCTCCGACTTACTTGCCAAGGCACATTTTTTTTTTATTCAGAAAGAAAGTATACATCTGTTTTTATTCAGAAAGAAAGTATACATCTGGATTGCTAATGGATAATGGATAATGGCAACATGTAACACCCAGGCCACAAATCCGCAGGGTCTGTGCAACTGCATCCTAAGAAACACGTTTACTGCTTCGGCGAGAACGTTTGCTTTGCACAACCTTATGAGTACATAGTTTGATTTGATCCACTATCGCTATTGCAGTTGTCATTACAACCGAGAAGTGACCACGACATGATTTATCCGTTGCCTTCGCGTTCGCGAAAAACCATGATTGTGTGTATCGGGATGGTATTGAGGTTTTTTTGGTGAGGTGAAAACAGACCAACATACAGTCCAAGGCAATTCAGACATACAGATGAAGGCAGGCGCTGTGGTGGTGGTGGGCGCGCGGCCTTCGCTCGTGCTAAGGCTGTCAAAAACACGTTCGTTGTAAGAGTCAATCACCGCTGGAGCGTCGTGACAGGATGGCAAGTTAAACGCATCATCGTCGGCAGGAGACCAGTACAGCCGATAGTGAAACCCTGGGGAAACCGGATGCTAAGTATTGTAATGGCGAAGGTGAGGATTGTAGCCGGTGAGGAGCTGGTCGAGCCGGGCGGGTGGCACTGACGCGGGCACACGGTCGACCTGATTTGGAGGCGCTGGTGAGTACCGGTCGGGTGGGGAGGTGACCTGCCCGCGTTCGGGAGGCAGCGGGGCAGCGCGACACTGTGTGGGGCCCCCGGCACGACCGACAGACATGCGGGAAGCGACAGCGCCGGGGGTGACAGCCCCATGCCCGGTTGAAGGCGAAGCAGAGCCGAAATCGACTCTGTCCGGTGCTGGCCAAACGACTCGCGGCAGGTGCCGGCCGGGAGGCAAAGGGGATGCCCCGGACCACTGCCTGTAGCCATATATTACAAGCGATACGCTTAGGCCGATCTTGCACTTGTATTAAAGTATTCAATGTCACGTGGCCCACGTACCAACACACCGTCCCGCGTCCCGCGACCGAGCGGCTGGTCCAGCGCTATCATGTCTTCGAGTTGCCGGGTGGAAGGCGAGAAGACCGTTCCACTTAGTGCCGATGAGCTTTTGCCGGTGGTCTCCTGGGAGGATGAAGGTTGCGTAGGCGCCGTTCGCTTCGTCGTCTTGGACCGCTTCGAGGATGGTCCGGGCTGTGGCGTCGGCGGAATGATCTCGTCGTCGCTGCTGCTGCTCGCCGTCTCTCTGATCGGTGGTAGTGTTGCTTGTGGGGCAGCTCTGTCCGCAGGGGATGGGCTCGTCGTCGTCGTACTCAAATGCGTTTATGAGCCGTTGTACATAAACTGTCATTTATCCGTCGCCGCCCTCGCGCTTGCAAAAAAAGAAACATTGTCATAGTGTGTAATGGGGCTGTATTGTCTGTTTTTTGGAGAGGTGGAACACCAACCTGGATGCCAGCAATGTTGCACAAGGCGTGCTGCCGCAGTGAGACTGCGGTAGAAGACTTAAGACCAATAACTACAGCGAACAACGACTTTTTCGCTGGCACTGTGTCGCCTGTCGCGGCGTCAACTGCGGGTGCGGCGCCGCCGCCGCGCCGGCTCAGCCGCCGCAGGTTGACAAGCGCTTAAGTTGGCGACGACCGATAAAAGTCTTTATATGCCGTTGGCGCATAAATTGTCATTTCTCGATTGTTTGTTGGCGCGTTTGGCCTTTCCAGAACGCGCCGTCACTAGGCCGCACAGCCTGTGCAGCTGCATTCTGATGAAAACGTTTACCGTCTCGGTGAAGACGTTTTCTTTGCTCAACCTCCCTTTGAGTGGTCGGTTGTAGCGCCGGGCCTGTTGTCCAGTGGAGCGTGCTTCGGCGCTAATCATCCAGCGCATCTGCTCCACCTGGTCGTCCGGTACCTCGCAGGCCATGATGAGGTCCCTGACCCATGGGTTGTGTTGCCGCATCAGCAGCTGAAGGTGCTGCAGCAGCTCCAGCAGGGTGCGCTGCGTCATCGCCGAGGTGTTTTCACCGAGACGGACGTGATCGAGTCGCAGCACCGCCTCTGCTTCCTGCTCCTGTCATGGCCGGTCGTTGATGTAGAGTTGTGCGAACTTTGAAACTTTGCCGGCGCATGCTCGCAGCGGCGGTACAGTCGTCCCTGAATGACCACGCTCGACGTGTACCCTCCTCGGGCCGGGTTGACCTCGCGCACCGTCTGAGAGGCGAGAGCCAGCGCTGGATCGAGGTGACGAACGTATTTGCGGAACACCTATTATGCTTGTGTAGCCTCCGCACATGCACGAGAGCTACGGAGCACACGATGGCTGCAGCGCGCTATCTCACTATTTCACACAAATGCTCTGCTGATATTACCAGAAATAATTTGCTCCAGCACATCCGCACCCACATTGTAGATCCGAAATTGAAGACTTTCTGTCGTTAGGACATGTTATACACAAATGCATTAGCATTGACACTATTTACTTACTCACTCGTTTACTTTTGTTCACTAATGCTCATGCTGTCAAGCGATTCAGCTCATCTACCTTTGTGAACACGACGTCTAGAGGGCTGTGGTCAGGCCCAGAGGCTTCTCGGTGTATACCCATTTCCCACGCCTTTCACAGGATAGTGCGCTTAGCCACTGCTCTTATCAAGACACCGCGCCGTCCTGGCTTTTGAGGCATGTAGACGCTGAAGGGACATCTCCCGCGGTACTAACTAGATCAGGGAATCATCGTTGGTCATATCGTATGATGGCTTTACATGGCGCCTGAAGTTTCTGTCGAAGAGGGAGAATGCCTCATGTTAGTTCCGGCATGTCTCCGTCCCAAAACAGGTGTAGTCAAACACAGGACCTTGTATTCATCTTGTCTATAGATCCGTTTCTGCAACACGTCAGAACAATCGTCACATATAGCAGCAGTGAGCTCTTCCCTAACACAACAACTGAGCCACACTCGATCTGACGATTAGACCTTGACATGACCCATACTCGTTCGTCCTTGACACATTTCGACTGCAAGTAGCACATACTAGGCACATACTATCATAAGACTGAAACGACCAGTTCAATCGGTTAAACTTACTGACTGTGTGCACCTCATGCCGGACTAACTGGGGGCTGATTCCCTCTGACACACGGTCGAAACAGTCTCTTCATATTATTCCTGCAGAAACAAAGTTATCAGTTTGGTACTCAAAACACGGACAAACCTGAAACACCTTTGGCTTGGCTATTCACAGCCTTAAACAAAATAACATTCTCAAAATACTTTCTAGTTTCTAGGCCTTATCGCGGACCTTTAGCTCTACATACATGAAATGCGGCAAACAAATACAAATCCAGCGCAGAGTTCAAGTGCTGATATCAGACAGAGATCACGGTAAATCTGCTAGTTTCATATCACCATCAACAACGGACATTTATCTGATTCAATCCACATAGAGTTATGCAAGATTTCACTTCCTAAACTCACTCATTAGCGCCAGGGAAATCAAACCATCCTCAGAAACAATCCTGAACAAGAATGTCGGCCGCACAAAACGGGCGTGGCAGGAACACGACAGTGCCCACCACTATCATACCGAAAATGCTGACACGTCACAATGTTTTAGGTTCTTAGATTCGAAAACGTGAAACACAAAACGCAGAATTATTTGTTTCGGAAAACGTTGTACAAAATATTGTTCATAGCATTCAAAGAAAACCGTGGAAATATTCATCAGAATGGTATTCGAGTATTTAAAGTACCTGCCACATTCGAGTACTTGTAAATACCCACGCGTAATCACACTCGGTCAATATAGATGTCGCGACGATCGAACGCCAAACTGCTGCTATAGCGTGACTATCGGCGCTTAACTAATATAGATGTCGCGACGATCGAACGCTAAACCGCTGCTATAGCGTGATTGCCGGCGCTAGACTGCTGCTATAGCTAGAGGGCAACTACACCTCACTTAATCGTCAACATAATCTCATTCACCTCACACTTGTTCGACTCTTTCTGTTCCTATTGCTGTGGGCAACACTTGTCAAATTGCCGATGATCGTCTCATGTCTCCGCTTCATCAAACGCCAGATGGGAGAGGATGGCCAGGTATTTCTGCTTTCCCATGGCGGCTCCGAACAGCTGAGGGTCGCGTTCGGTGGTGACATGTCCACCGTTTGGGACTGTGTTCCGTGGAGAACAGTCATTCTCAGGACTGCTCTCAGTTCCTTCTCATCAATCGGCGCCAGGATGTACGCTTTTTTTTCTTGAATAGCGGACTGGGTCAACTTGTTTCTTTCTTCTGTCAGTGCACTGTTTGGGTGCACATAATATTGATAATGTTCTGGCTTACATGTGTTTGTAGACTTTGCTGTGGTCTCTGCCGCGTTTGGCCGTAAATTCCAGAGTCATTTTGCACATTTATTGCGAAACAACACAGCTCGGCATACCCCGTACCGCACCAAGTACAACACTCGGGTCAGCTTTTGACAGACTCGGCGTCAAGGCAGCCAACGAGCGTTGTCCGCACTCTTCCTCCCATCGCCAGCATTAGCAAGGAGCTGACTTTCCAGAGACTCGTCTCCGAACAGCATGGTTCGCAGGGTCGTCTTCGCAGCTGTCCCACGATATCCCGTGAAAACGAGGTGGAAGCCTTTTGCCCGAAGCTTGAGTACCTTGAACCAGATAGAAGGAAAGTAACATAGCAATGGTGACCGTGATTTACCTCTCCGACGTGCTGACGGAGGCACTCTGCAGAGCGGCGGCGGCGCCTGTGTCTCCCTCGTCGTTCCTGTGAATGAAAATTGAAAATGTTACTCAACGATGTTAACTACCACGCCACATGAGCCGGTCTAATGTAAAGCTTGTCTTTGCTTTGCCTCTTGGGCCGGAATAAAATAGCCGGCAATTAACTTAACGTAAAGCAAAAGATCTGGGTAATTGCCAGCAAGTAACTTCCCTTCCCCTGCTATAGCCTTGTGCTAGCGGGGATGCAAAATTCAAAAAAAAAAAAATAACTACCATAACTGTTAACTATACCATAATTGTAAACTAACATATCTGAATTGACCTGCACTGGTTTGATTGATAAGCTGAATGCTTAGTATTAGGGTTAACATTAGACAATCGATGGTGATTTCTTCGACTTATTGTAGGCCATAGCAATGGACGTGACTGTGATTTACCTCTCCGATGTGCTGACGGAGGCCAGCTTCATGGAGTTGTCACGGGGACGGTCATACACCATGCATGCCACCATCCTTGTTTGACATCTGTAATAAGCCAGCTCACAATTTCGTTGGCTGTCGGTCTGCATCAGTTGAATGGATTCCGCTAGTTCTTGCCTTCGTCGTCTTCTGCGAAGAGCAGGTTCTTTGGCGCTGTTAAACTGTTTCCGTGCCTCCATCTGTAATCAAAGGATAAATATATAAGTATAAAGTAGCAACACTTCTCACTTGTGACGTTTTTTTAACAAGGAGCTGGCTTTCTAGCGTCTCGTCTCCGAACAGCATGGTTCGCAGGGTCGTCTTGGCAGCTGTCTTACGATGTCCCATGAGAGCGAGATTGAAGCCTTTTGCCCGAAGCTTGAGTACCTTGAACCAGATAGAAGGAAATTAACACCTCCCCCTAACCGGAAAATGGCACACAACCAACAAACACCAAACAAAATAGGTAGCATAAACTTAACATAAACTAACTTAACTACAACACAACAAAAGACAACCTCGTCACACCCTAGGGAGCCGTCTCCGTCGCCCGGACACAGCAGCCTGGAATCTGGACGCGCCCCAACCTCAGGCGCCGCAGCCATCCCGGCAGCCACCCCATCAGCCATCGGTAGCCGGCTGCCCGGCTGATATTGGTCTCCAACACAGTCGTTCCTGCCTCGGTCTGAAGGCCCCTGGCTGCACTTCGCTCCCCCCTCCCTCTGCTCCTGAAGGTTAGCGCCGCACGCGCACATATGCGTGCGTTTCCCGTCCGTGGGGCAAAACACTCTCGGCACACCTTTATGAAAGGCTGTTCATATCTAGCACACAAAAGTAAGAGGACCCTAGTGAAAAAATCCTATAGGATCCTATAGGAATTTTCTGGCTGAAATCCTATAGGATCTCATAGAGAAATTCTTATAGGAATCTTATAAGACGTCCTATAGGATTCCTATAAGACGTCCTATAGGATTCCTATAAGACGTCTTATAGGAATCCTATAGGACGTCTTATAGGAATCCTATAGGACGTCTTATAGGAATCCTATAGGACGTCTTATAGGAATCTTATAGGAACCTTATAAGACGTCTTATAGGAATCCTATAAGAAGTCTTCCATTGTTTTTTTTTTCTTTAATGGCATTATACCGTATATTTTTAAGTTTTTTTTCGTGATCTTTCATTTACTGGAACACAATCAATCACGTTAGCGAGAAGCTAAACGCGGCAGAGACAGAGATCCGCGCCACACACATTTCTGGATTACAAATACGGTAAGGGAGGCCGTTCCGGTCCCTGAAAGCGCGTCTCGCCTAGGACTATAACTTAACAAACAAATAAACACAAAAAGCACCGTTCGGCTCAACACAGAACCCCGGGCAGCACCGACGAATGTTTAAAGGAAATAGTTCACATTTTAACATGGGTTTTTAACTGGAATAGCAGTTCCGTAGCTTGGGCTGAGACGAGCATAAATCAGGAGCTTTTACAGCCCAACGATCACCCTAGGCAAAGATATTCTATTTCTCGTCCCGAAAAAGGTGCCTTGCGTTGAGGTTGTGTGCCTTGCATATATTTGCATCCAGTATGAAACGAGCATGGGTCCCGAAAATTCTTCAGAAACGCTCCAGTAACAAAAGAAAATTATTCAGAAAATTCTTCAGAGGCGCTCCAGTAACAAAAGCATGAGCAGATCGCCCAAATGCCGGTGGCCGCGATAATTTCTCTAGCTTCAAAAGAATTTTCGGGACCCATGCTCTTTTCATACTGGATCGCGTGTGCCTTACAGAAACTGAAAAGTTCTTCCTATATCAAAAATATAGAAAATAATATTTTGTTATAAAGAGGTTTTATTTTCTTTGCTGATCATTTTGAACATAAAAAATCATAAATCCATTGCAAAAAATATAATTTCGTGAAAGTGAACTATTTCCTTTAAGATCTTCCAGAGCCTCAAGTCTTTCATTGTCTTCCATTGTGGTCTGTGTTATGAGATTTAGCTGTCGTTTCCGTGGTCTGTATGACATTTCGTCCTATCCAATTTATAAATAGCACTCCCAGCATGTCAATTAACGTTTATTCAACGTTCCTCCGCACTACCAGCGTTCCCCGGCGCCTATTCCCCACGCTTCTTGCGGGCACGCTTCGCTTCATCGTTGCACTTAGCGGTGATGATTTTTCTGATATCAGATTCTTGTAGTTTCAGCTTCGAGGAGCAAAACGCTGAAAAAAATAAGGGCCAAATGAGTCTCAATCATTGATTTTACGATTGAAAACTTTACAAAATAAAAAATCAACAACCGTATTTTCATAACAGTGAGATGATTTGAAGAAAAGAAATCCGTATAATTTTTAGTCATTTTTTATCTAAGATTCTGCATCTAATATTTTTGTTCGTGCTAGACATTAAAATTTGAGAAAGATTGCAACACCTACAGTTTCAAAACTCACGTTTATGAAAAATAATCACAAAAATAATAAGAACATGGGCTTCTAAATGATATTGCGTGGTATGATAGCATTCTATATTAATAATAACCTTATATTAATGTGCAGTCTACCTACAACTTACATATGATAGCTGACACTTTCTTCGGGTCCAGGCGGACTTTCGCCACCACGCCGGACTGCACGTGATGACTGCACGTAATGACATTCATGCGTCTCTGTCAACTACCATGCGCCGTCTTGAGTTCTTCTTCCGGGTCTTCAAGTTTCTGTTGCATTAACATATTATCGATGATGTTCTGGTTTACATTTGTTTGTAGACTTTGCTGTGGTCTCTGCGGTGTTTGCCGCGGCCGCAGATTCCAGAGTCATTTTGCACATTTCTTGCGAAACAACACAGCTCGGCATACCCCGTACCGCACAAAGTACAACACTCGGGCCAGCTTTGGACAGACTCGGCGTCAAGGCAGCCAACGAGCGTTGTCCGCACTCCTCCTTCCATCGCCAGCATTAACAAGGAGCTGGCTTTCTAGAGTCTCGTCTCCGAACAGCATGGTTTGCAGGGTCCTCTTCGCAGCTGTCCCACGATATCCCATGAAAGCGAGGTGGAAGCCTTTTGCCCGAAGCTTGAGTACCTTGAACCAGATAGAAGGAAATTAACACCTCCCCTAACCGGAAAATGGCACACAACCAACAAACACCAAACAAAATAGGTAGCATAAACTAACTCAACTACAACACAACAAAAGACAACCTCGTCACACCCTAGGGAGCCGTCTCCGGCGCCCTGGCACCGCAGCCTGGAATCTGGACGCGCCCCAACCTCAGGCGCCGCAGCCATCCCGGCAGCCACCCCATCATGACATTGGTCTCCAACACAGTCGTTCCTGCCTCGGTTTGAAGGCCCTGGCTGCACTTCGCTCCCCCTCCCTCTGCTCCTGAAGGTTAGCGCCGCACGCGCACATATGCGTGCGTTTCCCGTCCGTGGGGCAAAACACTCTCGGCACACCTTTATGAAAGGTTGTTCATATCTAGCACACAAAAGTAAGAGGAGCCAGCGAGCGCCTTCAAAGCATCGTCAATGTGCGGTATGGGGTACGCAGGCAGGTTAGTAATGACATTCATACGTGTCTGTCAACTACCATGCGCCATTTTGAGTTCTTCTTCCGGGTGTTCAAGTTTCTGTTGCATTAACATATTATCGATGATGTTCTGGTTTACATGTGTTCGCAGACTTTGCTGTGGTCTCTGCGGCGTTTGGCCGCAGATTCCAGAGTCATTTTTCACATTTATTGCGAAACAACACAGCCCGGTATACCCCGTACTGCACCACCAAGTGTATCAGTGTATCTTTCGCGCCGGCAGCCTCCGCTCCGACCAAAGTCTCAACAATGTCAATAGAAACTGATCTGTGACTGTATTTGCTGGTCGCTGCTGCCTGTGAACGTGCGAGTAACGTTCTAGCTCTGCCATTTTCGCATCCTTCGCCTATATCTATATCGGAAGCTATATCGTGGTTAATCCATCTCCAGTCAGGTATCAACACCACAGGACGATTGTCACACTTCGCTCTGATAGGCTGCAGTTCCTATCATGCGTGGAGCAGCGCTTAACCCCACACTACGTCCGGCTCGAAGCCTCGCTTGGCGTGCCGCTCAGTTGATGGGCATTTGGGTCATGTACCGCCGATATACGACCGGCTCTGTACAGCCAGCCCTTCACAATCATCACTGCATTGCACGCCTGTGTATCTACGTGTCTGTGTATTTGTCAGTGTGTGACGTGCTCTCGGTGCCGGCCCGGCAGGAGATGAAGGAGGCCGCCGGTGAGGAGGAGGCCGAACTCGCTGAGGAGATGGCGCAGGCCTTCCTCTCCGAGAACCTGCCCGAGACCATGTTCGGCGCGCCCAAAGCCGGGCCCGGCATGTGGGCGTCCGTGATCAGGGTGATGGACCCCGCCGACGGCCGGACCACGCATCTGGTGCGGCTGGAACAGAACGAGGCGGCTCTCAGGTGGGTACATACAGCTAACAGACAGACAGGCGGGCAGACAGACAGACAGACAGACAGACAGACAGACAGACAGACAGACAGACAGACAGACAGACAGACGGGCGGACAGACGGGCGGACAGACGGGCGGACAGACGGGCGGACAGACGGGCGGACAGACAGACAGACAGACAGACAGACAGACGGGCGGACAGACGGGCGGACAGACGGGCGGACAGACAGACAGACAGACAGACGGGCGGACAGACAGACAGACGGGCGGACAGACAGACAGACAGACGGGCGGACAGACAGACAGACGGGCGGACAGACAGACGGGCGGACAGACAGACGGGCGGACAGACAGACGGGCGGACAGACAGACGGGCGGACAGACAGACGGGCGGACAGACAGACGGGCGGACAGACAGACGGGCGGACAGACAGACAGACGGGCAGACAGACAGACAGACGGGCAGACAGACA